CATTTTCTGTAGATGTCGACGATAAAAACAGCCCTGAGAATAAATTTTTACTCAATTCTGTGTTAGCACTTGAAATTGCTCTTCACCCGACCTGAAACGGCTAGCGCTCGGTTCCATCAGTAAGCATAATCCAAACCGCAACGCATCCTGAGCCATTCCAAGTCCATTCCAAGAAAAAATCTTGACTTTTTTTTTCGGACCGGAACAGTTCCTCAGCTTCTGCTGATTTTAATACGTTTTCCCGTCTTTTTAAACCAGCTTCGCTAGGCTTTTCTAAGTATTCCATGAAGCTGAAAAAACTCCTAAATTGGTTATTGATTTGAAAAACGATTTTATCAGAGTTCAGTCCTTCATACTCCTAATTTTGTCCTTCTGGCGTCTTCCAGCCTAATTCCTTCCCTTTCTTTCCGTTTTCTTGATTTTTCTGGACCTAGTTTGATAATTTTGGTCACTCTCCGGTATCAATAGGTATTCCGTTGTTTTTCCAAGCTTTTCCGTCTGTTTATCACTTTTTTGAATCCATTTTCAAAATTCAGCTCCTTTTGAAGCTTCCCTTTGTTTTTCGAAGTTCAAAGATCAGTTAATTTTTCAAAAAAACCTTCTGAAGCTTTTATTTCTTACGCCTTCTTTTTGGTTTTTTTTTTCGAGCCATTTTCATATTTTGGACCTTTTCTAGGTCTCTTATACGCCTTTTCTAATGATTTTTTTGGATTTTAAAATGTCTCAGGATACTCAGAGGCTTTGAAAGTAAAGTTGAGACGAGTTTGATTGTATTTTTTTTCCAGTTTTTGAAGCTAACTTGATTTTTTTAACTCCAGTAGAACCATTGAAAAATTGGCAAGCAAAGATTCACCTTGTCTTCTTATGCAACTGAAAAAAATTATGATTTTAGCCTTCCTTGCTCAAAACATCAAAAAATCTAAAAAATGATCGTCCAAACAGCAGCAGACAAAAACCATCTTTTTTTTTGCTTTTGTTGATGACACACTGAAAAACAATAGGAGATTGCACGTTGGCCCAAAAAAAAATTGGCGCTGACCGCTACTTTTTTTTTCTGCGCTCGACCAGCTGCGGGCTTTTTTCGGGTGCCGCTGCAGCTGTCTTTTTGATTTCTCACCTTTTTTCTCTAAAGAATGTTTGAAACAATTGAAAAAGAATGTAGAATGAATCTTTTTCGAAGTTTTTTTGAAGAAAAAAATAACTTTACGACGTTTTTTTGTGCATACACCTTGCTGTAGAACTCTTCTGCCAACCGTAATTTTCATTTTGAAATTTTTTTGGGGTGCCACGATGTTTCTTTTTTTCCAGAAAAAAAGATAAATTCTTTACTTTTCAGTTTGAAAAACATTAGAAACTTTCATATTTGAAATACCTTACGACAACTTTTGTGCATACACCTCGCTGTAGAACTTTTTCTGCTGACCGTAATCTTTTTCTAAACTTTTTTTGTTGGTTGTCACGATGTTTTTTTACAGAAACAAAAACTACATTTTTATTTTTGATGTTAGAAAAATGAGAAGTAAAAATAATTTTACGCCACCTTTGTGCATACATCTCGCTGAAGAACTATTTTGTCAACGGTAATTTTTAGGTAAAAAAATTTTTTTCCTCCGTCTTACGCCACTTTTTTTCTGCATGAACCTTTGCTGTACAACTCTTCTGCTAACCGTAATCAATATTTAAAAGATTTTTATTGAACGTTACCTAGTTTTTTTCAAAAAAAGTTCATTTTTTTCTTCCCAAGCCCAAAAAGCCATTAGAAACGAGTTTTGGAGCATTAGTAGTGCGTTTTGGAACAAGGTGGTGTGCAGCAGAATGCGGCGTCGAAATGAATGACTCGCGCGATTTGTCACTTTTTCACCATTGTCGCTCGTAAATCTTCTCCAGGCGTCCCTACGCTTCCAACCTCTTCTTTTTGTCCTTTCGTCCCGTTTTTCTCCCACTAATTTTTTGTTGATGACAATCGGAGTTGCATTCTTTTCGGACGAAAATAAGAACTGTACTTTTTGTTTTCTTAAAAGGAATTTTGTACTTTAATGGTATTATTTTGAGGAAATGTTTTTGCGACTTGAAATTAGCTTGAACTTTGATTAAATCCGTTCTTTGAGCTTTCAAAATCGTTTCAAACTAAAAAATGCAAAGTTGATTTTTTCTTTTTGAAATTCTTTTTTTGTGAGCCAAACTTGCTGAAAACTTGTATTATGAATCTCTCAGAACGGAGAAGATCATGGACACTCATTTAGTAAAAAGGAGAAGAAAATATTCCAGAAATTTCCTTTTGCGCGTGATTTCAAGTGTCGCTAGTGCACACACCGCCACGCAATCCGACTTTTAGCTGTTTCTACGCAAATTTCCTCTTTTTTTCCCAGCCAGATTAATACGCATTTATATGTTCATTCAGAAAAAGAAATAATGGAAATTTTGATTTGCGCGTGATTTCAAGTGTCGCTTGTGCACACACCGCCACGAAATCCAACTTTTATCCGTTTTTTACGTAATTTTTTCGCAAATTTTTCCTTCACTTTTTTTCCTAGTCAGAAAAGATCGAAATTATATGTTCATTCAAAAAATGTTAGAAATTTTGATTTTGCGCGAGTTTTCAAACGTTGCTTGTGCACACACCGCAACGCAATCCATTTTTTATCTGTTTTTACGCAATTTTTTTTTTCAAATTTTTCCTCTATTCGAATACACATTCCTCGAAAAAAAAGGACAACATTTTTTGATTTTTCGCGTGATTTTTGTGCACACACCGCCACGCAATCAAACTTTTATCTGTTTTTACGCCATTTTTTCTAAAATTTCTCCTCTACTCGACCTTTTTCCCAGCTAACCCGAAAACGAATTAAAGTTGAAGGGTTGTCAGCGGTTTGTCGGCCGCCCGGGTTATATTATATAGCCCTTTGCAATAGGTGGGCAAAAGAGGGGAGCGAAGTTAGAATTGGAAATGATTCTCTGGATGTATATATACGCTCCTAGCTGTCCATATTTTCCCTTTTTCGTCTTTTTTTTTCTCCTTCTCCTTCTCTTTTCCAGCCGCTGGACGTCCTGTCGTCATGCCTATCCAAGCGTGCCTTTTCAGGACGACTCCTCTTGTTAGTCGGCTTGTTTTTCCGAGCCAACTTTTTGCCTTTTTCTGTTGATTCACGCAAAAAGTTACTGTCTGACGGAGTCGATTTCGGCCAAAGTTGTCATTTTGGATTAAGTTCCGTCGCTAAACTTTCCCCTGGCTTTTCGTCTCACTTTTCCCGTTTTTTTCAACTCAAGTTAATTTATTTTCGAGTCTTTTCAAAGTTCAATGCAGAAAAGATCCTTCAAAAAAAATTCTATAAAGTGTTAAAAAAATTATTTTTTTCCTACTTTAGAAGGAATTTTTTTGTCTTTTTTTCCAGATTTTTTTGAGGTTCCTTTTTTTCACATCCAATAAGGATGAACCTTATTTTTAGGCTCTCAAAATATTTTTTTCATATTTTTTTAATTTTTTTCAATAGTTGTCTTAATAGAAATTTTTGAAAGGAATATATCTCAAAACCAAAAAAATAAGCTTTAGAATTTAGAAAATGCCAATTTTGCAGCATTTTTTTACATTTTCATTTAAAAACCTTGAAAAGTTCCTGTGATTTTTAAAAATTAATTACAAATTCTCATAAGACGCCGTAAATGATAGAGTTTCTATACCATAAAATTTTTGCCAAAAATCCCCTTCTCTTCTCAAAAAAAAGACGGAAAAAGCCGACCATGTCAAACAAATCAAACGAGGAGAAAAGAAAAAACAAATCAGCGTCTAGTAGTACTCTCGAGCCACGCATGTCCGTAAAAGGCGTTCCGTTTTGCCTATTTGCTTGTCATCATCGCCCAAAGGGGAGGAGGACCATTCCGCGCTTTTCACACATGGTTTGTCAACACGCGCTCCTCTCCCCTAGCGTTCTTTTTTCGCATTCCGCGACCGATCGTCCACATCGACTTTCCTGGAGCTGCACCCGAGCCCATCCATTTGTTGACTTTTCTTCTGCGAGCGTCCTGCGCTTCAAATCATCCGCTTTTCGTTAGCTCGAAAAAATATATATCCATTTGCATAAGGCCGATTTTCATCAATTAAGAGTTACTGTAAGCGATAACTGTGTAGTTTGAGATGATTACACATTACACGTTTAATCCTACGCCTTTTGCCTTGATATTTTAAGCAATTTTTAATCTATTGTTTTTTTCTCGTTTTACAGTGTTTTCAAAGTATTAATTCTTATTTCCGAAGATAACGCAGACTTTAGTTTTGAAGTTTTTTATGGATTTCATTTTTTTTTAAACACAGCGAGGAGATTTTGAAAAATCGTATGCAAATCGAGAACTCCTTTTTTTTCTTTTGAAGTCTGTCTATTTCATGGAGTCCTCCGTATTGGTGTGTTGCTTTTTTATGACTGTTGTGAAGTATTTTTCATGTGAAAAAGGGTCCTTTTTCACATTCAGTCGAAATTTTATCTCTGAATGTGAAAAAAAGTAATTTTTCCTGCTCTATTTTTTATCAATCCAGCTTCAAAAAGTTCTTTTTTTTTAATCTCTTGGACTGAATCTTTCTTTGTGTGTGTGTTCTGTTAGAAAATTTTTATTTTTGGCTTCTACTATCAAGAATTTTTTGAAATGAGTTGGAAAATCTAGGAAAAATAGAAAAAATAATTTTTATCGATTATCTCTCGTAAATCCGCGGGGAAATTTGAATTTCGCGCCAAGAGGTGGGGTCACGTGCACCTTTTTACGTTGTGCCGTTAAGAAAACGTTTTATTTTCGATGTTTCCGGTTTTCTAATGTTATTTAAGGACTTTTGAACGGAATTCTTGTCATATCTCTTTTTTTTGTCGTTTTATCGCGAATCGTTCTTGAAAAAACCTTTCATCGAAACATTCAGCCGGGACACGAAATGGCTTGAAGACGTATTTATCCACGTTCGAATTGCCCGTACCACCTAATATACAGACAAAAGCCAAATTATGCTTCTAATTATCGTTATGTTGGCCGTCGGGTGGCCAACCGTTCTTGGTCAGCAACGCGGTTGGTTTTCTGCTTCTTTTTTTTTTTTTGAATTCTGTGTAAAAATGCTATTTTTTTGCCTTTTTGCGTTAGAATTTAAGGTAGAAAATGGTGTTTTTTGGCTCATTTTTTTATTCAAACTTTTGTGTTAAAATGATTCATTTTTTTGCCGTATTTTATTGGGGATTTGGGAACATTTTATTCATTCAGTTGTTATATATAATTTGAGGAAGCTACAGCTTTTTTTGTGTATTTTTTTAAAATTCCACTGTTAAGAATTTTCAAAGGCGCACAATTCTTCCACGAACTTAAATAATTTTTGAATCGGCTCGAAGGTTTCATCGATTTTTTTGAACAGATTTTTATATTTTTTTATCAAAAAAATTGATTTTTTTGGGTTTTTTTGTTTTCTTTTCGAAGGAGTAACATTTGTTTCACTTAATTTAAAAACAACAAAAATCATGAAAAAAACATATTTTTTTGACGGTTCTTGTCTTGAAATCAACCGAAATAATCTAAAATTTGAAAAAAATGTCGCCATTTTTTTGAAGTTTACTAGACGTTTTTTTCTTCAGCTATAAGAACAGTTAGATATGTTTTTGGGAATTTTTTTCTCAGATTTTTGAGTTTTGAGAAAAATAATACGCTCTGTTAACGTATCATTTTTCTAATTTTAAGGCTTTTTGTGTTTTTCTTCTGGAAGCCTCATTAGAAAATGATCTCTGAAAAAGGTTTTCACTAATTTTTCATTTTTTTTTTTAAATTTATATAATAGAAAAAAATAATTCGAATGCTAAAAAAATGGTTTTTTTCTTCGTTTCCTTAGTTGGCTTTTTGTCATTGAATAATTTTTCCTGAAAAAGGGAAATTTTTTTCTAGACGGATATAATTTTGGGTTCTCTTTAGGGAAGGTTTTTTTCGAATTTTTCAATTTTTTTGAGGATTTATACATTTTTTTGAGTCCTTTTTCTTAACTGGGCAAGGTTTTTGGATAACATTCATTTTTTTTTAGATTTTTTGAAATTCTTAGAAGAACAAGAAGAACGAAACTCGCATTACCATTTTTCGTTGTTTTTCTCATTTCTTATCCGTCTCTTGAAACGTACTGCAAGTTGGGGCGTAGGATTTTACCGGGGATTTCCCGAAATTGGCCCCGTTTGCCTTGCAATTTACAACTAGAGTAAGGAGGGATGTGCTCGCCGAGCCCATTGTGACGTCTTTTTGGCACCTTTTGTCCAGGTGACGTTATTATGGCTGTGTGTGGGGTGCACACATGGAGAGAAACGTAAATGCATTGAGAAGGTCTTTGAGGCGCCGAAATGGCAGTTTCTCGAAGAATAACTGTTAAAAAGGAGTTCTAGTTGATCGAAACCATTTTTTAGGAGAGAAATTTGTTTTTTTTTCGGGGTCTTAGGAACTCCAGAATGGTATATGGGTAACCTTAGGGATTCTTAAAGGTTCCCCTTTAGGGACCAATGAAGCTTGCAAAAGTGGACTTTTGCAAGCTTCAGTGGTCCCTGGAGGGGTTTCAGTTAGTAGCCCATTTAGGGGCTGGTCGATGATTTTATGAGCCATATGCGTAGAAGCCATTCCATGAAAAAAACTGAAAAATAAGCGTTTTTTGAATGAAATCGAGAGACCCCTATAGGGTCCACTTGAGCTTTAGGGGCTGTTGGGTCCGACCCTAAACCCCTATAGGGACCACTCTTAGATTCTTAAGATGATCGAGATATTTTTGAAGAGAATTTTCTTAGATCTTAATTTTTTGGTCTTGCTTTCATCCAAGAAGACAAAATTTCAATTAGAAGAAAGAAAAAGAAGAAAAAAAACGGCTCGTCTTACGGATTTCCCACGGGTTGAGTGTTTCGCGCCGGCCATATATGGGGTCAACAACCGTCCGACGCGACGCCACACACACATTTTGGCTGGACGGAGATGATTCACAGGGTTGAGCATTGTGTCCGACTGCCGCCTTCAACTTGCGCCTCTTTTGAGGGGTTGAGCACCGGGCAAAAACGGGCGCTCAAGGGGTTCTTTTTGTATCCCGAATGCTCAAAAAAGCAGTGAAACGATTCATTAGAGGGTGATAAAAGGGCTCAAAAAGGTGCTGAAAACTCCCTTTTGTGTTCTTCATGAAGCTTCTTCGTTAGGGTTCTTCGCTAGGATTTTTTGAGGCTCAAGGAGGGTAAAATAGAGAGAAAAATGAGTTGTTAAAGGGTGATAATAGGGCCCAAAAAGGTGCTAAAAACTCCCTTATTCGTCCTTTATAAGGCTTATCCGCTAGGATTCTTTAATGCTCAAGGAGAGGTGAAAAAAGGGATAAAATTGGGTCGTTAGAGGGTGGTAAACGGGCGCAAAAAAGACAACATAACTAAACCATAGAAGTTGAAAAAAAACTTCTGAATTTTTCAAAGACTTCAACGATTTTTAAGGTAACTCATAATAATAAGGTGATCATTTGGAAAATACCTTGCGATTATCTTTTTTGGAACTTTATTGATTTTTTGAGGAGAAAGAGCGCCAATTTCATTCTCTTGATTTGGTAATTTATTATCCAACGTAATGTCGTGGGAAAAGATAGGAAAGGGCGATTTAAGGGTAATTTAGTGATTTATATGGGATTTTTGGTGGTTCTTAAAAGGTTCAAGCGATTGCTTTTTTTGAAAAATAGTTTTCGAGAAGTATTCTGAATATAAGGAATATTTTTGCAGTACCATCGGCGCCGCAAAACTTCCACGTCGAGTTGACCAGCGCCACTTCGGTCAAAATCACCTGGGACCCGCCGAAATTCCTCAATGGCGAAGTTTTGGGCTACCAAATGCGAAAAACCGTCGTGGATAGTCCCGGCAAGGAGCGGATCTACAATCAGAAAGACCTTCAGGTTTGATTTTTTTCATTTTTAAGGGGGATACAAAAAAGTGACGATACATGAAGGAACTTTCCTTTTTGCGAAAAAGGATTCTCTTTAGGGACCACTTTACCAACTCTTATAGGGGCCACTAAAGCTTGCAAAAGTGGTCCGTACAAGGGTTATAGTTAGTGGTCCCTATAGTGGGCATTCTAAAACAAAAAATGAAGTTGAAAGACCCCTATAAGGACCACTTAAGCTTTAGGGACTAAGGGATCTGACTCTAAACTCGTAAAGGGATCACCTTGATTCTACCCTATTGAGACCACTTTTTCAGCCCCTATAGGAGCTATTTTTCTTTCTTACCCCTATAGGGAGTGCTTTAGCTTTAGGGGCTGAGGAATCAGATTCTAAACCCCTATAGGGAACACTTTTTCGGTCCCTATAGAGGCTGCTTTTCCCTCTTACCTCTATAGGGAGTACTTGAGCTTAAGGTGCTTAGGGGTCAGATCCTCAACCCCTATAGAAGCACTTTGATTTAACCCCTACAGGGACCACTTTTTTCGGACCCTGTAAGGGCTGTTTTTCCCTCATTCCCATATAGGTAGTACTTGAGCTTCCGGGACTAAGGGGTCAGAATCTGAAACCCTACAGGGACCATCTAAATTTTAACCCTATTGGGACCACTTTTTTGTTCCCTATTTTTGTTCCCTATATAGGGGCTAGTTTTCCCTTTTACACCTATAGTGACCACTTAAGCTTTATTGGCTAACGGGTCAGAAAATAATTTCTATAGGGATTCACTTGATTTTAACCCTATAGGGGCCACTTTTGACCCCTATATAGGGGCTGTTTTTTCTCTGACTCCTCTAAAGACCACTATGAAATTCCTAATTCAGTTTGTTAAATTCTGAGAAATTTTTTTGTCCATTTATTGCTTATTTTTGAGAAAAAGCTAAAAATGGCTCATTCAAACTTGTGTTGAATATATGAGATAATCATCAATTGTTTTTTTTCGCTTTTTAAAAGCGCCAAAAATCTGATTCTTTTTGAGTTTTATTTGTTTGGCTCGCAAAAATTCTATTATTTCCATTTCCACCGACGATTTTCTCATCCGCCACCTCTGATAGTTACTCGCTTGGCCCCATTTTCTTGGTTTGCTTTGAAGCGAAACTCATTTGCATTCCATTATTATGAGCTCCCTCGGGGCGTTCGAGCTAAGTAGCGGGTTCGAAGCTGTCAATTTTGTCGCGAATCTCCCGACAAAATGCGAATTTATTCCTCAAGTTTTGCCTTTTCCTTCGAAAACTTTTGCCCTTTTTGAAAAATTGTCCCCTTTTTTCATTTCTTGCAACTGAAGTTTTGAAATTTTGCAACTGAGAATCTCAAACTTCACTTTGATAGGCTCGAAAAATCAGTTTTTGTTAGAACTCCTTTATCATTTGATCTCGGAACTCGGTAACGAAAGCTCCAGAAGTTCTTAAGAATTTTAGAGTGGTCCCTATAGGGGTAAGGGGTAAAAACAGACCCTATAGGGGTGAAATCAAGGCTGTCAAATCTTAGCCCCTAAAGCTTAAGTAGTCCCCATAGTAGTCGTTCAATTTTATTCAAAAAAGGTTATTTTCATAGTTTTTCGCATGGAAATGCTTATTCGTATAGAGTTCATAACCATTATCGACTAGCATGTCCCTATAGGGACCAGTTTTGCGACTTTAGTAGCCTTTATAGGGGTTGATGAAATTATCCCTTATATTGCTCCTATAGGGACCACTCTGAAGTTCCTAAATTTGTGAGCAGTTCTAAGCACACGAGGGGGGGAGGGGTCCGGTTTGCGTTACTGAGGTTCGAAAGTTCGATTTCAACAAAATTCGGCTAAAATGTTTCATTTTTTAAAGCCCAAGTGGTCCCTAGAGGGGACTTCCCAAGGGCCCCTAAGGTTGCCCCTATCACTCTGGAGTTCCTTATTAATGATTCTCCAAGCCTTGAGAAAGACGAAATTCCTTGCAGAAACGATACTTTATCATCGACAACTTGGACCCCAACACCAAGTACTCGTTCAACATGAACGCCTTCAACCGTTACGGCGACGGCGAGTACACTGAGCGCAAATTCGTCACCACTCAGGGCATTCGTCAGTTTTTATCATCTTCACACTTATTTCTAAAAGCTTTTACTGCGCTTAAAAAAAAGAATAGGTTTAAACTTTACGGTGAATCATCAATAATGGAAGGAAGGTCTTAAAAGGTTCAGCAATACCCGAAAAAGGCCAAAAATATATTTTATAGTGGCTCAAATTGTTGGTTGATAGGCTAGTTTTGACGTTTAGAAAATCGAAAATTCATTACTTTCAAAATAAAGTGGAACCTCCTTCATTGCAATTTTAGAAGTATGAAAAAAATAATGTGTGTATTTTGAACCCTATGCGTATAGTTTGCTAGATAAAAATTGAAAAAGAGAAAAAAAAATACGAAATACAGTGTGATTTGAGTGTTTTATAGCTTTTCCCAGCCCAAAAAGAGCCACGAAATTTCAGCGCCTGAAGCGCCAGAAATCGTGTCGGTCTCGTTGGAGCGCGACGAGCCGCCGATTGTGGCGCGAATCGAGTGGAAATTGCGACGGACGCGTCCCAACGAAGGGCCCATCGAACGGTACAAATTGTGGCTCAAGCCGAGGAATTCGACGGAAACCTACACCCTGATGAAGGTGGTCGCCGGCACGGAAATGTCCACCGACGTCTCCGGTCTTTGTGAGTTTTCCGAACAATTTCTGGGGGAAACTTTAGTGGACACTTGAGGGGTTACTCAAGAGGTCAAAAGGGCTCTACTTGAAAGACTACTCAAGGGCTCAAAACTTTAGTGATTACTTGAGAGCCTTTTCAAGGGTTAAGAACTATAGTGGCTACTTGAGAAGTTGCATAAAGGCTCAAAACTATTGTGGCCACCTAAGTGTTCACTCAAGGGCTCAAAGCTTTAGTGGTTACTTGAGAGCCTACTAAAAGGCCAAAACTTTAGTGGTTACTTAAGAGGTTACTCATGAGATCGATACTTTGGTGGTCACTTGAGAGATTACTCAAAAGCTCAAAGCTATAGTGACTACTTGAGAGGTGACTCAAGGGCTCACAACTTTTCTAAATGTGAAAACTCTTTAGTGGCCACTAAAAACTCAAACAGAGCCTTGAAAGTTGTAATACTATACTATTTTTTTAGGGTCTTTAAATGGAATTTTCTTGTTTTGTAGCGAAATTCTTAGAAAATGGCAACTCCAATTGTAGGATTATAGCCATTTTTTCCACTTTGCCGCAATATTTCCTTCCTTTTTTTTTGCCCAAACGCCATTCCTAAGGTTTATAAACTTTAAATTGAGCAATCAAATGCGATTTTTTGACTTTGGTTTAAAGTAACAGAGCTTCTATTAATTTATTACAGGTTTAACTGTTATTTTTTCACCTTGTCACTCTCCTTTTACATTCAATTTTTCATGAGAATTGATATTCGAAAATGTGAATTACTTGAAAATTTCCAGGGATGGGAGTAGTCTACGACGTTTTCCTGGGCGCCGAAAATAAGGAGGGACTCAGCGCCAATGCGACGGAGACGTTGGCAACACCCATCGGAAGTCCCGACGGGGAGCCGCTCGACGTCCAGTACGAGATCCTCAAGGGGAAGGTAAGGATCCGATTAGATCAGTGATAAAGTAAAATATTTTGCTTTTCAAAAAAATGAGTGAAAAAAGGTGTGAGATGATCTTTGACGAAAGGTTGAATTTGAACAGAAATCGAGTCGAAACTGAGAAAAAGTGATATTTTGAAGAGCAGTTAGCTATCCAGTTAGATAGGGTACCTTCAAAGGGAGAAGAAAGTTTATTAAATTTTTATGATTCAAGTTTCAGAAGGCCTTAGTTTTTGTTAGGGTTTCATCATGTTAAAAAAACATTTTTTTCAAATTTCATTCAAGAAGCCAACGAAAAACGTTCGTTGCTATAAAATATCCGAGAAGGTTTTTGAAAAAAATCTTGGAGATGTTCTATTAGAATATGTTTTTTTCACTGATTTTTTTGAAATCGAGTCCATTTTTCAATTTTGTAAAGTTAGCTAGAGAAAGTTACATTTTTTTGCTGATTTTTCACTTATTTTACTATGAGGCTCTCAAATTTGATATAATAATTTTTAAAAAAAGTTTTTTTCTTTTTATTTCTAGGAAATCAACTGTAAGGGTTCCGAAACCGTACAACTATCCAGAGAAAACTAAATTTTCCGCTCATTTTCACTGAGTTTGACTATGAGGCTCCTAAATTTGGGTAAGTATAAAGACGGTTTTTTTCTATGGATATTGACTATAAGGATCACGAAATTGTAAGAAAAATTCCGAGAAAATTGATTTTTTTTCGCCCAATTTAACTGATTTTAACAAAAAGTCCAAGCTGGACCGTTGAGTGGACACCCGAAGAAAAGTTGTCGTAGGTGAAAAGTGTGCATTTTTATTCGTTTATTACGTTACAACGACGTGTCGGATAGAAGATATCCAAGTCATATCGTAGTAGTTCTGGCACATGTGTGGAGCCGCCCATTTTTTTCAACTTTTCCTCGAAATTTTCCGCTCTTCCTTTGCACGTTTCGGCTTTCCACAAACACGTGTTCGAGGCATGTTCTGAGAATTAGTCTCACTATTTTCTGTCCTATATGCGGCCACACAGGAATAGGACGAAAAAGGTTGCCTTTTTTTGGGTTGAAATTAGGTTTTTTGAGGTTTTTTTCTGTTGGAATATTGGGCCGAGAATGTCCCATTTCGATTCATTTTTTTCCAAACTTAAAATTTTTTTACTGACAATAATTTAATCTTTTGATGAGTTTTTAGAACTTGAATCAAATGTAATAGAGAATTTTTAAGATTTTTCCTTTTTCAAAAAAATTGAACAAAAATGAAGAATTTCGAAGTGTTTTTCTTTCTATTTTTTTACATGGTTTTTCCCGGACCTTGAGTGATTTTTTTGATCAACATGTTGAACTAAAAAAACGGAAAAAAATCGTTCTGCCTGGCTTTTTATTTCAAAATGTTCAATTCAGTTTGAGTTTTTTTCATTTTTTTATTTAATATTTTTTTGACTTTCTCCGTCTAAAATTCTACCAAAACTATAGAAATAAAGCGTTATAATTCATTCATCGAATTTTCGTAGTTTTTTTCAATCACTTTTCCAATGAATATTCTATTGCAAGTGTGATTCTAGCTTCAAAAAGTAGTCATTATGAACTTGAACGAGAATTTTTTTCTTTGAATATCAACTTAAAAAAATTGTAAAAAAATTCCAGAATTTTTTTCTTCCGCTTTTTTTCCCTTTTTTTGTTGATTTTTCGGCTCAAGTTATTCTCAAAACAAATAAATTATGCGTCTAGGGAATTGCGAAAAGTCGAAAAAATAAAGAAATTTTTCCTCTTTCAAGCTTTTTTTTTCAGATTATCGTCTCTTGGCGACCTCCAGCTGAGGAGAAACGCAACGGGAATATCAGTTTCTACAAAGCCGTCCTGACTTCGATGGATTCCAGCGGCGATCGACTCGAAAAAACGGTGGGTTTTGAGGGGAAAGGAAGCAGAAAAGAAAGGAAAATCGAGGAAGTTTGGCTGAAAAAAAAACTATTTTTGAAGATTGTTTCGTGCTTCAATAGTGGTTATAAAAAAAGAAAAAAATTGGAGTTTTTTTATAAAATTCAGCTTTTTTTCCTGTCATTTTTGACTCCAAGATAAAAAAAGTTCTAAAGGTTCAAAAAAAGGCAGGAGAAAATAGCCCTTTTTGAGCATTTCTTCGTGCTCCAATGGTAGTTTTACAGAAGAAAAATCGGAGTTTTTTATTTAATTAAGCTTTTTCCAGTCATTTTTAACTTGAAAAGAAGTTTTTTAAAAAAAACCTCAAAAAAAGCTAGAATTATTGAAGCAAGAGTGAAATGTGGATGAAAAAGTGAAAAAAATAGCCGGCTTTGTGACAGCTTTGTGCGCTCTAATGCTATTTTTTTATGAAAAATCAAAAAAATGAGTGGTCCAATTTAAACTTGAATAAAAATCGCGAGACATTTTTGAGGTCCAAGTACATTGAAAAATACATTGAAAAGAAAAAATCAGTTTTTTTTATCCAAGGGAAAGTTATTTCTTTAAAAAACCGCGATCAGCGAAGCCAATCGAATCAAAATTGAGAAAAAATATAAATAGCCGCTAAAAAGCAGGTTTCTGTGCTCCAATGATAACTCCACACAAGACCTTCTTGAACGGAAAATTTCCAAACTTGACTGAGTATGGACAGCTGTGATATTAGGACTTGTGCGCTCCACGGTCAGCTCCTCAGGAAAAAAACTTCTCATATCAAATAAGCCGAAAAATAACGATTTTCCCCTTGTGGCATGCCAAATTAGCATCGTTTCTTCTCCTGAAATGAGCCCTCAGATATTCCTACGAGATGTTCTCATTTTCCCGGCTTTCCTCTTTAAGATTGCTTAGCTGTGAGATTGATTTTTTCTGTTGGAATTTTGAAAAATTGTAGTGGTTGTTAATTTTTGATAGGGCTGAATCCAGAAAATAGGCATTTCATCGGAATTTCGATTTTTTCCATGAAAACCTTGATTTTAAAACGTTTTTTTTAGGGAAAATAGTTTTTCATTTGGATTTTCTTTAGTAGGATCCTAAAGGAATCGATTTTTGGGAGAAACTCCTGAATTTTTTAATCTGACCCAAAATCAGAATTCAGAAAAATCGGACATTTTTATAGATTCGGTGAGATTTGAACGTATTTTTGAAGTTACTGGGAAAATTTTTAGTGGCCACTATAGGGTTTTGACGTTTTAGTGGTCACTATAGAGGTCTAAGTGCTACTACTAGACCACTAAAAGTTTTAGTGGCCACTTTAGGGGTCAATGGATCAGCATAACTGGTCCAATCTGTTTGTTTTAAAATTATAAGAGTTACTGGAAGGAATACTGGATGAAAAACTACTAAAGTGGCCCCTAAAACGGAAAATAGTGACTACTATAGAGGTGGGTTTAGTGGCCACTTTAGTGTCCTCTCCAAGTAGTCCTTGGCCAGCCTCTATAGTGGCCACTAAAGAAACAAAAATTTTATTACAGCTTTCAGCCTTTCTTAATGAGATACATTTATTAGATAAATTTTTTAATAATTCAATTTTTTTTTGGGGAAAAAAGCTGAAGCTTCATTTGCTAAAATAGTTCTTATCTTTCTTTTTTTTTAAATCAAAAAGCTTTGGTTCATTCTCAATAGCATTACTTCGTCCTCATCTCATTCACTTCTCGATTTTTCCACTGAAAAACCAAGGAAAAGCTCATTGGAGCACTTTTGGTTTGGCGGAAAATGGCCGCGCATTTCCTGGGTCCGGATATCAGAGGGGATGTTTTTTTTTTCTCTCGACGTTTTGTTGTCGTCTCCTCTCTTGTCCATGGGATTTCGCTTTTTCTTTGGATGTCCCACGAGCATTTTTTTCGGCTCCTTTCATAGATTTATTTTTGAGCGTATTGGATGGTTTTCACAGATTTTAGTAGAAAATAACTGATTCTAAAAGTTTAGGTGGTTTTTTTGAATTTTGTCGGTTTTTAAAAAACATTTTTATTTCTTCAAGCAGTGCGTTTTAAGGTTAACTTTTAGACTAAACCCTCAAAGTTTATTTATGCGCTCTCTTGGCCTTTTAGCGTTAGAGCGAACTTGCTTTTTTCGCAAATTTTTTTTTTCCTGTAGATACGTTTATTCCCTCCTAACGGTTTTTTGATTCTCTGGCTAATTTTTTGATATTAAAAAAAAGGTCGATGTTTTTTTTTTCGGAAAGCCTCAAATAGCAATTGTCAAAGTAAAGTCTGAAATTCAAAAAAAAAAGCTCCTAAATAATCCTTCTGGTGAACTGAAAACAAAAAAAAAACTAAGTAACCCCGGAAAAGTTTGAGCAAAGTTTGGAGACCCCATAGCCGAAGCGAAACGTCAAAGTAATTCAAGTTGAGCGAAACTTTTGGGCCTTGAAGAAGACGAGGAAGGTGTTCGGAAGGAATGTGTGGTGGTTCGTGCATAATGGCGTCTGACTCGGACCATCAGCAGGGAACTCAAAGAGGCAGCCTAATTGGTCGCCCAAAATTACTCCCCTTCTTGTTGGAGTTGTGTGTGTGTGTGTGTGGCTTCTGCTGCAGAATCAGCCGTCTTTTCGCGTTTTTCTTTGTCCTTTTCGTGTAGGAATCGCTTAGGATCATTGCTTTTTTTTCAATCTCGAACCTTGAAGAAAATCCTTACAAGGAAGGCCATTTTACTTCCCTGAAAATTGGCCAGAGTACTCTTTGATGTACCAGGTAGATATCCTGGCGATTTTTGCAGGTATAGAGACTCAGGATCTTCCTCTAGCACATCAAAGAGTGTTCTGGCTAATTTTTCAGGCAACCGCATGGTGAAATGACCTTCCTTGTCAGAAATAGCTTGTTTTTCTCAACTTCAGCCTTGAGAAATCACAAAAAACGGCTGATTTTTCACAGAATAGGCCTGAAATTTTTTTTTCTCCGTCCAGAATTATTGCTTTTGTACACCTAAAACCTTGAAAATTGCCCCAGAAATGGCTGATTTTCCTAAAATTCAGCCTTGGAAAAATCACAAAAACAGCTGATTTTTCACAGAATAGGCCAAAAACTTTCCCTTCAGAGTTTCTTTGTCTTTTTTCGTGTAGGAATCGCTCAATATTGATGCTTTTTTAAAATCTCAAATCTCGAAAAGGGGTCTCAGAATCAGAGTTTTTTCACAGATCTGCTCGAAGCTTTTTGCAAAAACCTTTTTTAGTTTTTTTTTTTTCGGACAGGAATGGGTCAGAATTGTCGTATTTTTAACCTCACACCTTGAAAAAAAATTCCCCAAAAATTCCTGATTTTTTTATGACAGGAAACTTCAACAAAAAAGCTCTTCTAGAGCCGAAATTGGTTTTTATTTTCAGTTCTTCAATATTCGAAACGTAAAACATTGTTTGTTTTTTTTTTCAACTTTAATGACCTCGAAAATCATTAAATATCATGAAAAGGCTATTATGTGAGTCTGAATTTGAGGCTCACTTTACGACTTCTCCTTTTTTCCACAGCCAAATTTTTCGACGACCTCGAGAACCATCAAACAGCTCAATAAAATGTCGGGTTTTTCAGGTGACACCACCAGCCAAATCGGCCGTCTTCGAGGTGAACGTCCGACGGGCTTACACGTTCAAAGTGGCGGCGTCGACGATGAAAGGCCTCGGTCCGTTCTCGCCCGTCCTCACCATCAATCCCGACCCTGCCGGTTAGTTTATTCAAGCATTTTCGAAGGGATAAGAAGCCATCTGAAGTTGGGTCTCATGAAGAAAATGCCGATTTTTGCATGCTTTTTTGTGATTTTTCAGGGTTTTCAGAAAAGAAGAACAGGAGTTTCACAATCGATCAGTTTTTTACACAAATTTTCAGGCTCTTCTGGACTTTTAACTTGTAGTTTTTCATGGAGGGCTAAGTTATAGAGTTTCTAGCAAGATAATCGAGCCGTTTCATAATTTTTTAATTTTTTGTCGAGGAAAAATAAGCCATCTGAAGTTAGGTCTCATGAAGAAAATGTCGAGTTTTGCGTGTTTTTTGTGGTTTGGCTTTCAGAAAAGAAGAGCATGCTGGAATTTCCTTCATAATCGTCAAGTTTTTTACAGATTTTCAGGCTCTTCTGGATTTGTAGCTTCTGATTTTTGATAGAATTCCAAGTTTCGGGGTTTTTTGACCTATCAGATATGAATAGGTTATTCATCATGGTTTTTGAAGCTTTTTGAAGTTCGGTTTCCTGAACAAAATCTCGATTCTTTGCATGTTTTTTGTGTTGTCTTTACAGATTTTACAGGTTCTGAATGGGACAATAAGAAAATGCAGGAGCTTCATTCATAGTCGTCCAGTTTTAGGAAGATTCTCAGGCTCTTCTGGACTTGTATTTTTTTTAGTTTTTGAAGGAGTTTTCTGGAGTTTTTTAGCCTTCTCAATCGGAGCGAATTCAAGATTTCAATAGGCCCTGGACCGCTGAATTTAGGACATTTTTTGGAGAAAATTCAAAAAGTGGATTAGAAGTGATTCCAGAGTTGAATGATAAGCTTTTAAAATAGATTTCTGGCGTTATGAAGCTTGAGATGATTTTTTTTTCTCGTTGAAATTTTTTTCCTTATTCAGTTGTTTGAGAAGCTTTGGAATCGTTGGAATCTTAATTTTTCACGATTTTAACTCTGGATTTCTCAGGAAACCTCTCATAGCTTTATCAAGCGATTTTCTTGATTTTTCGAAATACTTTTATTCTCCGAGTTTCCTGTGCAGGACTTACAAGACAAAAATTTTTTTCTGCGACTTGTAGTTTATAGATCACATGGGATTCGTGTGCCCTTGGGCCATTAGTTTCAGAAGTTTACAGAGAAAAATGAGCCGAATTTACGAGTAGTCATGTGTTCTCGTTATTTTATTCTTTTCCGGGTTTTTTTTAGATATTTTCTGCAAAGAAGTGTGGTTTTGGTTTTCTTAATTTGAGCTTCTGAACTGTAAAAGGAGATTTTGCAAGTTTGAGTTGAAATTTCGTTCAGTTGATTTGTAATTTTGAGCTTTTCGACAGCTTTTAGTTCTAAAGAAGAATGACGTTTTTAAAAAAATATGTGGACGAAAAAAAATTAGAAAACTTCAGATATTTGATGATTTTACGCTCAAAAAGCTGTTTTTCTGCACTTTTCTTCGTATTCGAAATGAATAAATGTGCAAAACAAGCCAAAAAATGAGCGGCCGGGCATATAATTAACGGCCCGGCCGTAAATGTGCATTTTCACGCCATTTGTCATGCTTTTTTCATGATTAGGGTTGTTACTGTGGCGACAAATGATCCAATTTTCGCGGCCTCATAACGGCTCTCTGTTAAGCTTTATCACCTGACTCAGGTCTTTCACCTTTTTTCCGTTTAAGGAGTGAGAGCTTTGGATTTGGATTGGTGAAGTTTGAGGTCGCTTTTTGGAGATTTTGAGGTTTTAACGTGAGTTTTTTGGATTTTTTGCTGAGATTGTTGGATTTTCCAAAGCTCTTTGCGGGTTTTTATTCTGTAATTTTTGAGATATCAGGTCTTTTTTTTTTGAAGGAAGTGGTCGCTTTGGAATAAGGAAGTTTGAGGTCTTTTTAGAGATTTTGTGGTTTTGGTAGGGACTTTCTCGGCCTTTTTTTATTATAAAAAAATGTCGGATTTTTCAAGCTTTTTGCGAATTTCTTGTTGTTTATAATTTTTTTCAAGTTATCAGGTTTTTCATTCAAGAAATAAAAAGCTTTTTGACTTAGGTTGGTGAAGCTTGAGGTTGCTTTTTTTGGAAATTTTCAGGTTTCAGTAGGACTTTCTCGGCTTTTTTTATTATTAAAAAAATGTCAGATTTTTCAAGCTTTTTGCAAATGTCTTGTGGTTTTTTTATTTTTTTCCAAGTTATCAGCCTTTTTTTCGTTCAAGAAATGGAAGCTTTTTGACTTAGATTGGTGAAGTTTGAGATCGCTTTTTGGCGATTTTGGCTTTTTCTATTGAAATTTTTAAATTTTCATAGCTTACAATACTTCCAAGACCTCCTTGTTGTACTTTCTCTGAACTAAATTTTTTTTCCGCATCTTTTAAGGATTTACAAAACCTTGCAAGCTTTTTTCTCGCACCTGGCAAAAGTTCAAGTCTGCCAAAGTGCACATTTATATTATATTGTTATCACCTGCCAATTTCTAATATCCGACCTTTTCGAAAAGTAATTTCCGTTCCCTCAGCTCGCCTTACCTTTTTGCGCGACTGGAAAAGGTACATTTCGGCATGTTCGAATTTTATCATTTTTCTCTGGAGTTGTAGATTTAATGATATATCTGTTTGAAGAAAAGTTAAAGGTCTTCGGAAAAAAATGTTTGATTTTCTTTTTTCTTTTTTTCGCTGATTTGTTAACGGCTATAACTTCCATAGAAATTGTAGGATTATCCTTATCCCTATCCTTATCTTTTCTTCAAAGAGTGGGTGTCTGTTAAGGTATCCTCTAATCTTTAGTGATAATAAAAGAAGAAGATTATCCGTGGAGCACGAAAGATCGAAGTGCTTTTTGAAGTTCTTTTCGGCCATTTTGAAGCTGTAGAAGCGGTCAAAGTTCTTTTTTGGGTATTTTTTATTTGAACCAGAAATTTATATACTTTCCGAATCGGCGGCTAAAGCTGTCCATGGAGCGCGAAAGCTCAAAATAAGTCTGTTTTAAAAGTTTTCGAAAAATTTATACATATAAAAGTGTCTCTTAGGGTAATTTCACGGATTTTTTTTCCAAAAAACCTTCGAAAACTTTTTTTTCCAGTTTCACAGAGTCGATTGCACTGAAATTCATCGTATTATCTTTTTCTCGCCTATAGATTTGTCGAAAAGTCGCCCCGGCGAAATAGGGTGTGTTTTTCGCGCCCCGTCGGACTCGGCAACGATGTGTTGACACGGGCGGGAAAGGCATTTAGATGATTAAAAAAACTCTTCTTCTTCTTTTTCTTTTTCGTCGTCGTGAATCTTCCTCGGCTCACTTGCCTCGCATACTTAGTAAGTATTACTTACGACTTTTGCAAGTATCGCCTCGATGAATTTATTCTTTTTTTGAGTTTTTTTTGAGGTTCTGAAAGTTTGGAGTTTTGGAAAGGTTTGAGAAAGAAATCCTAACAATATTCGAAATTTTACTAGTTTTTGAAGATTTTCCAAACACTTGGGAGTTTTTAAGGGCTTGAAGTATGAAAAAAATCAGTTCAACCCCTATCAATTTTTTTCAGAGCTTTTTGACGTTGGGAAGTCAGAAAAAAATGTCGAAAAAAATGTTTGGAAATTGGCCAGAAACTCTGAAAACAAGCCTAAAAACAAGCTCTATGTAAAGTTTTTTTCAACAATTTCAAGAGAAAAAAACTCAGAATTTTTAGAAAATTCGAAAAAATAAGGTGACATAAATACAAGGAAACTTTGAAAAATCGCTTGAAAATTTTCGCCTAATTTTTTTCCAACAATAATCCTCAATTTTTTTTTTTCAGTTTCTCCTTCTTTTTCCCCTTTTTTGAGTCACTCTAAAGCCTTTAACCTTTCAGTCCAGTCGACTGGAAATTCATGTGCTCCGTCGCCTAGTTTGTCAGCTTAGAATTGAGTTTTTTGAGCAACCTTTCTCCCCTCGTTTTTTTTAATCAAAAATTATCCCGACGCTCATTATTTATGAGCGGAGAATTCAGTTGTTTGGCTCTTCTAGGAGACGTTGCACTCTGAAAAATGCACTTTTTACCGCCTTTTTCAGCTGTTTTCAGTGGAAAATTGAGGCTGAAAATCAATTTTTACTATAGGAAAAAAAAAACTTTTCCAAGCTCTTTTTGAAGAAAGTCCTGGGAAAATTTTTAGTGGCCATTTTAAAGGCTCGCCAAGGACTACTTGGAGAGGACACTAAAGTGGCCATTGAACCCACCTCTATGGTGGCCACTATTTTCCGTTTTAGTGGCCACTTCAGTAGTTTTTCATCCAGTATTCTTTCCAGTAACTCTGATAATTTAAAAAAAAACAGATTGGACAAGTTATGTTGGTCCATTGACCCCTAAAGTAGCCACTAAAGTTTTTGGTGGTCTAGTAGTAGCATATAGACCTCTATAGTGGCCACTAGTATTTAACCCCTTAAGTGGCCACTAATTTGACTACTACAGTGGCTACTAAAACGTCAAAACCCTATAGTGGCCACTAAAAATTTTCCCAGAAACCCTACGTTTCAAAAATGAAATGAAAGATGCTACAATGAAATGCGCTTAATTCAGCTTGCTCTCATAGATAGATAAAAAAACGAATTTTAAGCTTTAAAGCGACCGAAAAAAAATTCTCCGGCTTTTTTTTTTGCCAGAACATTTGCGCTCCATTTGAATCCCCCCTTCTAGCTCTTCCAAATTCGAAATCGTGTTTTTTATTCGTCCAAACCTTCATCACGGTTCATAGACTTTTCACACTTTTGACGTTTGGACTCGAAGAAGAAGCTTTTTGGGAGCCCCCCGTTGAACTTGGTGATTTGTGTCGCTCTTTCTTCTCTTCCCATCAACGTTTCTGGCCCATCCAAGCCAGAAAAAAAGACGTTTTTCCGGCGTCGCCGTGCACTCGGAAGTTGTAAGAAATGGATAAAAACCTTTTTCTTTTGTGCATTTTTTTCGGCCTTGTCTTTTGGCGTTTCTTCGCCGGAATTCTTCTCTTTCTTGATTTTTTCCATGAATATCTGAGAAAGTTTTGGCAGCCTACCATCTTCTTCTCGTCAGCTTCTTCATCTTTTTCTCGTCTTCCTAGGCTTTTAGAACGTTTTTTCAGCTACTTCAATGGAAAAAAAGTTGTAGAGTCCCAAATTCAAGCTTTTTAGAAGGCATTAGGTTATTTAAATTAGAAAATAAAATCTAATAATTCACAATTTTGAGAGATTTTTTCTCTATAAAAGTTTCTCGAAAGTGTATCTCATGCTCTTTAAATCTTTAAAGAAGCTTTAAAAAAGTTTATTTTTGATAGGAATCATTTTAAACTAGGTTTCGAGACAAGTTTCAAACCTTTTCTGATCTTTTGGTTCTCTCGGTCGCAAAAAAAACAGTTTGAATAGTAATTTACACTTTTCAAATGAGAATGAAGCTACTGAAAACGATAGAAATGAGAAGAAAATTCATTTTTTATCATGAAAAACGCAAATTTCGGTTTAATTTCGTATATTTTTTCATCTTTTCCGAGCTTTCATGTAAGTACGATTCCTCACTCCAATTTTGAGATTGATTGAAACTCTAGTAGATCCCAAGTCAAGTCAAAATTTGAATTTGAATGACTCGGACCTAGTCTACTCGTATTTGTTTGTTTATTCGGCCTCCTATTGGGTTTCAAAAGGCGTGGACAAGGCAGAGGAAGACGCTGCTGATAGGTTGAAGAAGAAGAGTAATTTGATCACTTTTTGATGTCTTCATATGGCTTCTTGGCCTAAAAATGAACTCGTTTTTTGAGCTTCTAGTAGTTGGAATTATGTTCAATTTTTTTCTCATGTCTTTTTTGATGATTCTGAGGTTAGAAGCCTTGAAATCTTGCTTTGAAGTCAATTTTGAACCTCTATGTGAGTTTTTTTGGTTCTAGAAAAGTCAGGGATTCCTGAACCAGAAGTTTCAATTTCCCTTATCACTCCAAAGTTTCCGATCAGGTTATCACAATTTTTCCAATCTTTCTACCATTTTTTCTCCAGCCTCAAGCTTCTCATTCCAAAACTTCAACCAAAGTTCTCCTAAAGAAAATATGACCTTTTTCCACTTGATTTGTAACATGACGCGGGTCTCATTCACGCATTTTGAGTCGGTGTTCAAAAACAGATTTTAAGAGTCAAAGTTCATTTTTTTGCTCACTTTGTCGTGTTATAAACCTTCAAAATTATACTATTTTACAATTTTAGGCATCTTAGTATAGTATTTTTGAAAACTTGGTCTTCAAATGATAAGAGCCCCTTTTTATCTCAAAATTTTACGATTCGATAGATTTAAGAAACTTTTTCTAGAGATCATAAGCTTAATTATAAACTAATTTTTTCGGCAGTTGAGATTAGATTCATTGATTTTCCGACGGATTGTGAGCTCACCAGAAGAGATTATATCCAGGATTAGCCCCACACGTATACGTTTGACAAACGTGGATTGTCCAGATTTTGTCCAGCCACACATTTTTCCCTCTTTTTAGTGATTTTGACTCAAAATTTGGAGAAAAGTAGGAATTTTGGGCTCCAGAATGATGTAAATACTCCTATGTTGCACTATTTAAAAGTTTTTTTTTCATTTTCACTTGAAAGCACTCTGGAAAATTTGAGTGGCTACTTGAGGGAACACTTAAGTGTCCACTACCTTTATTTATTTGAAGATGAGACAATTTGCAAATTTTTAAGTGCCTTTTTGAAAGTTGTACTGGTGAGATCTTTCAAGTGGCCACTTTAAACGTGTCCCTTAAGTGAATACTTTACGAGATTTCACGGCAGATATATGAATTTTCCACCTGGATAGGACCCCTTTAGTGACCACTTGGCTCTCCTACAGATTTTCAAAAATAAAAAATATGTATATATACTGATTTTTCTTCTTTTTCACCATTAACAATCCAAAATCGGTCTGGAATTTTTTGAAAAATGTGAAAAAGAAAAACGAAAAATTTGCAAAAAGTTATAAATCTCCCTTCGGTCGAACATATATTTCTCGAAAAATATTTACAACTCGCCTCATCAAGAGCTTGGTCCCCCGCTGTGTGGCTTGAAGGAATTTTGCATTTTTTTTCTTTTTCAAAAGAACCTTGGTATTTTCTATTTCGAGAGGTGTGTATAATGGCTCGGTTCATTCATTCATTCGACGGCTCTTCGAGGTCCTATTGTCTTCCTTTTTTCGCCTTGGTAACGGCGAAGATATTCTCATCCCGACGTCGTTCATTATTTTTACCTGGCCTATAAGTAAAGGTCGTCTTGTTTTTGTTTTCAATAGAAATTTTCCTAAGTGCTAGTTTTAAAGCTTTTTTCTTCATGGTAGTTATTTTTGGATTGATACTGAATATTGGCCTCAAAATTTGAATTTCGAATTTTTTTTTTCTTTTCAAAAGGCCCACATTTGGAAGCTGAAATGAATGAAAAACATCAATTTTTTTAACTCCCAGATTGGAAAAATTATCATATTTCTGGATAAATTTTACTAATTTTGAGAAGTATTTTTTATCGAATAACAAAAAAACGACTCTTCGTCTCGAGACCTTGGCTATGCTCCTTTAAACACTCCTCCACTTATATAAAGCTGAAAGAATGAACTTTGTTGTATCATTCCATTTTTCCCTAGAAGTTGTTCCGGTACAATTCCTCAATCTGCTTTTTTGAAAAAAAAAAAACGGTTCTTCGCTTCGAGACCTCAATCAATTTCACGATATGCTCCTTTAAACACAAGCTCTAATGAATGAACTTTATGATCGATCCCACTTTTTTCCCCGAGATTCGTCGTCACCCATTTTTCGTCCTTCTATAAAAGTTCCTCCTGTTTTGAGACGCTTTGAAACTGCGGCCGGCATGGACGAGGACGAAGATGAACGACCGAAATTGGCGGCGACTGAAGAGACGGAAGAAGACCCGCTGGGCGGTCTGATCTCGCCGATCTCGTGCAAAGACGGCATCATCAACTCCCTGGAAGATCTGCTCAACTACGTGGCTTCCGGCTGGAAGTACCACGTCTCGAACACGGACGGCGTCAAACAGGCCTGGTTCAAGCTCGACAATGCGACTACTAGGATTTGCTCCCATTTGAAGGGTGAGGAGAAGCACTTGGAATGGGAGCTGAGACTTCAAATTGTTTCAAGATCGAATATTAAGAATGCTTGAATGGATTTTAGAGTCGAGATATAATTCTATGAACAAATAGTGAATGATAGTTGAGCCGAATGATGGTTCTTAGAAAATAAGTATAGAAAAATCTCGCGCTTGAAGCGGAGCTGGAGGAGAAGGACTGACGGAATGAGAATTTAAACTTGAAGAAAATTCTTTATATCTAGAAATTTTCAAACCTAGCATTATTCCAGAGCGCATCTGAACTTTTTTTAGCTGTTTGTTTGTTCTCTCTAACATAACGGAAGAAATTCGAACTTTTGGAACTTTTTATCCGTGGAGCGCACATGAGGCTGATATTTTGACACTTTTTTGGAGCAATGTATTTTGAAATTTTTTGGATAGAAACGAGCATCAATAGTCTGAAAAGAAAGTCGAAGATTTTGAGCCTCAAATTTTCCTAGTGTATAGGCGCTTCTTTGCTCCATGGATAAAAATCGCAAAATTCCAAGCCAATTCAAAATTTGAGCTTTTTTCCATTTTTTCACTTCCAGAACGTTTCTCTCCAAAGTTTTCTTTCGCTAAAATATCTTAGGTCAGCTTCACCTACAATATTTGTCTTTCTGGCTTTAGTTTCATGAGCCGAATAGGTCGGAGAAAGCGCGCTCCATGGCTAATCAGCTTTTTATCTTGACGAGAAAAGCTGAAAATCAAAAATGAAGCTTCCAACAGTCGAAATCCTCCTTCTGATAATACCCACCATAAATTTCTCTGAATATTTCCCTATAACGTCTTTGTTGGGCCCATTTTTCAAGCTTGAAGACCTTTTTCTTAGATGGGCCTGCCGGGGCACTTCTACATGAGATTCGGAGCAAATTAGTTGAAGTTGGGTGGTGGTTTATGGTGCTCGTCGGCTTCGGTTCCCTTCCACTTTTTGACTCGACTCTACGATTTTTCGGAGCTTCATCTGTTGAATTTTGAGCTTACAAGGATGGCGTTTTTATTTGCTTCTTATAAGAAGGCTCAGAATGTTTTCTGACGAAGTGATTTTGAACGATAAAAATAGCTTTTTTCCAAGCTTTTCGTCGTTTTTTTCATACTTCAGGACGTCTTTTCTAGTATTAATAAAAATTGTGAAGGTTAAGAATTTCAGAAGCTTGACCTAGAATCTAACCGATTTTCAAAAATTACAAGAACTACTTTCCTTGTTGGTCTTTAACGCTCTCATAGTGTTTTCTAAGAACACTAGAGGATTTTCTGATGTTAAGAACATTGGAAAACAACTGAGTAGGCCTGTTTTCCAAGTTTAAAGCCGTTGTTAAGTGTAACCATATCAAATTACCCGAATGGCGGTACCTCTCCTATTTTATTCGAATTTTTATGCGTTCGAGGCCAGGTGTGCTCTCTATCCGAAAAACAGGAGCCGAGAAAAAAAAATACTGGAAAAAAATTGGGCCGTTTCCACTCTGTTGGAAGCTTATGAATTGGATGATGCCTTGCATGACTTAATCTTCCCCACTCCACTCGCAGTCGTTTTTTTTTTCTCACCTTCTGGATTTTACTCCTTATTTTTTTTATCCTTCATTTTCATACTTGGAACTTTGAGACACATCTTGGAATGTTTGTTCAAGTTTTAAATCGAATTTCAAAATATTTATGGTCTTTTGTCCAACGTTTCCATTTTTCTATCTGAAAAAAATGGAAAAAAATGAGAATTTCTAATTATTGCTCATCTTAAAGAATTTTTTTCGTGCTTGAGAAACTCTCAGAACTTTTTGGAGCTTGCCAAAAAATTGATTCAATTTTTTTTAATTTCGCATTATTGCTCATGTTACCATAGCTCAACTTAAAGAGCACCAAACGGGACATTTCGAAAAGCTTTCGCTAAATTTTCTGATTATTGCTCATCTTAGCGAACTTTTTTCGAATAGCAGAAACTTTCAGAACTTTTTGGATCTTACAAAAAAATAATTCTGTTTTTTCGAAGTTTCTCATTATTGCTCATGTTAACATAATTCAATTTAAAGAGCGCCAAACGGAAAAATTTGATGATATGTGAACGAATTTATCACTATTGCTCATTTTAGGCGATTTTATGGGCACTTTCTTCTTTTTCGAAAAAAAGTGCAAGCTCATCTCAACTCATAAAGTGCCGGCTCTTGAGCTCCATTGAGCAATTTCACTTCATCTTCTAGTTGCCCCAAGTTGCCCCAAGTTGAGAATGAACTCATTTTCGAAGCCCTCAGGCTCTCGTCGCAGTTTTTAATGTGATGTGTATGTGTGTGTGTGTGCCGCCACCATAGATGAGTTCTACCCGCTTCTTTTTTTTTTTCCTTCTTCTTCCTTTGGCCTGCCAAGTCGAGCCGAATCGTCGTCAACCACGAAGTCATTCATCCGATCTCGACGACCGAAGACGTCTTCAGAAGACGTCGGCTTTTCCTTTCTTCCCGCCCGCCAATATCCCTTGGAACCAACGCGAAAAATACGTCTTCGTCACATCTACCCCGATGTGTAGACGAGACGAAAATTCAAATTGGCGCTTTTCTTTGTTCTCTGCAGTTTTTTTTAAGTCAACGAGATTTTCCCCCCGGCTGGCGAGACCTTCAAAGCGAACCCCTCTAAAATTTTCTTTTTTTTCGAGGTTTTTTGATTGCTCATCGCTTTTAAAAAGGCAAGGATGATTTTTTTTTTTGGTCGTGAATTAGGGTTTTAAGAATTTTGCGGCTTTTTCGATGAGAATCTTTGAAAATCCTATTTTTTGCGTTTTTCCGAAGAAAAAATGGAACTTAGTATGAATTTTCTGGACTTTTTTAGGCGTTATTTGGGAATTTTAAGCTCATCCCATGAAAAATATCATTATTTTACAGCTTTTAGAATTTTTCAGAATAAGCATTTGTAATGAGAAAATTTAAAAAAAAAATGAAAATTCTTCTCTTTTTCAAAGTAGTTTACGTATTTGACATAAAATTGAGGTATTTTTATATTTAAAGAACCATTTTTTTGTATCTGTAGATTGATCTACCTCTCAAGAACTAGAAATTCTCAACTTTATAAGAAGTTCAATGTTCGAAGTTCGCCTTAAAGTTTCAAGGAGCTGAAAGAATATTTCATTTTAAGTATCTCTAATGAAGAAAACAAATTAATTGATGTTTTGGCGAGTAAGGAAAAGGTCTTGGAAGGAGGGTTCTCGGCTTTCAAACAAGCTCCTCCATCCTCAAACATACCCACACAGAGTGAATTAATTGCTTCTTGCGGCTCTTCGTTTCTTTTTTTTTCTTTATTTTGTTCTTTTTTAATCGTCTTCGTTCTCCCTGCTAATCCACCCCAAATCAAGATGGCGTCGACCTCTCCTTCTCCTTTTCATTCGACTCGACGTCGTCGACGACGGCAACAACGCGGCGGCCGTCCCGCCATGTCCGCCAAGACGAAACAACAACGGAAGCAGATGCAAATTAGCAAGCTGCACAAGGGCGCCGATGCAGTGACAGGTCCGGCCCGAGCTGTCCTTTTCAGGGCACCTTTTTCCACACTTCTTTTATAGCTTTTGTGTCCGTCGCGTTTGCAGAGGGTTTCATGTTGAAAAGTCATGAGCATTGTTTTTTTATAGCAGTTTTCTCAGAGTGATCAAATGCTGGTAGTTCAAGATAGTCATAGAAGCTTTATTAGCTTGACTTAATCCTTCATAGAAACTTTTGAGAATGTCCATTTTTCAAAAGTTTAAGTTTAAGTTTACCAGTTTTACTTTAAGGTAGCACATCTAAAGCATTTTTAACCTTTATTTTGATCTTCATCGAAATCTTTCAAGTTCGGAATAGTCCATTTTAAGCAATTTTTTGACCTTCATCAAAAATTTCGAGATGGTTCATTCAGAGCAATTTTCCAATGAGCAGGATAGACATGGCCTAAATGAACTTTTTCACATGATTCCCAAAAAATTATGTGTTTTTCGAGCAGTGTTCATAAATCAAAACTCAATATTTACAAAAAGGAAAGAGCTGCCCTTTTTTCATACTCCCAATAATCATCTGCAGACGCGACAATGACACTTTCCCTTTTTTCCCTCTTCGCTTCGGCGACACATTATTCGATTTTGCATCACACTCTCGGAGAGGCCCATTGGGACCACCAGAAAAAGGTTTCAGAAAGACAACAACAAGAAGCGTCGACGGCAGCCGAAGAGGAGGAAGAGGCGATGGCGACTTCAGAAGTCGTCACCGAGCACGTATCCTCGGCCGACGTCTTCAGCGCAATTCTGAACCGCGCCCCCGGCCCGCTGGACCATCCCGTCATGTTGGGCATCTCCAAGACGAACTCGGCGGACTTTCCGTCGACGACGACGACGCCGGCGAGTCTCGTCGTCGACGCCACCTTGCCTTTCACCTCCACGGCGTTGCTCTTCACTCGAATTTCGTGTACTTTTTTCGTGTTACTTCGTTCTGAACAGTTTTTAATGGACTCTTTGTATTGGATTGGACTGGACTGGATAGATATTTCTTTACGGGCTGTCAAAGCCGCTGGACTCACCTAGGATGTTTTAAAGGGTTTTGTGCTTCAAATTGATTTTTTTTTTCACCTTGATGGACTCCTTGGACTCGGTCGTAATTTTTTGAATTTTCGATGTTTTTCGACATCGTAATGAGTTCTGGAGTCTTCTCGAAGTACTTGAGCTTTTGAGAGATTTTTGCAGGCGGATTTCAAAGCGCCTGATTAATTTCGGACTTGTTTAAATTTAATTTAGGTTAATAAAGTTATTTAATGAAGTTACGGGATTTTTTTTATAACGTTTTGTGAGAAACTCTGGTTTCACAAGATTGATTCTTATCGATTTTTAAAAAAATTTTTCTGTAAGAATCTGTTCTTTTTGGTTTTTTTAAAGAAATTAATGGATTTTTTTCGATGAATCGGGGAACATTTTTTTAAAAAGTTGTAGATGTTTTGAACCTTTTTCATTAGCTACTAAAGACTTTTCCGGAAACTTAGTTTTGATTCCTTGATTTTCAGGGATTCCTAGGATAGAGTTCGAATATCCGAAAATTTAGCTCAAAAGCCGATTTGAGAGCTTTTTAATCAATAGTACAAAAAATGGTTTGAAACTACAAAAATTCGTACCCTCATATTTTTTTTTCACATAGAAACCCAATATTTCGTATAGTCCGAGAGGTTCGGTTCGAATTTAAAGTACATTCGATACCCTCTTCGTAGTAGTAGCCGTACTAAAAGAAGTAACTCGACATTCTCCAATTTTTTTTTCCCTTAGAAAAGGCGGAAAAGGAGAAAAATCGTTTGCAAATTAGCTTGAGTGGAAGGAGGTTGTTGTGTGAAAAATGCACAAAATGTGTCTTTCATTTTGTTTCCCCCTATTGAGCAGAGAGTGTGAGAGAGAGGGCAGAATTTTCACTTCGATTACCGCATAGGAAAACCTCTTAAAGATTAAGTGGTGGACACGAGTGGGGGGACATGAAGAGGGCGAGGGAGAGCCAGAGAAGAAGCTGGAGGAGGTGGGGCAATTGGCAGCGGTTTTGCACTCGGCCAAAGGTATTCGGATCTATATCTATATTTGGGTAGGCCAATTATGGGGCCCATGACAGCCGATTGATACCCTACATTCCGAGCTATTATTCCACGTTTTCTTCTCCCCATGTCGTAGGCTTCCTCCGACGTTGCCAAGGGCCCCCAATGAATTATTCGGTGATTTACCTGGCTTGCGTGCTCGTTGTCGCTTGTCGCGACGTCGTCGTCGTCGCCACCGACGACGCGATTTATCGTCGTCGTGGCACGGCGAAGCAACGCACACGTACACGCCTACCGTTTGACGCCGCCGGCGGGTTCTTCGCCATCGAGGCGATGTCGCTCGATGATCGGCCGTATCGCGCCAATGGCAACATTTTCGCGGCTGTTATCAATTCGCTTCTTCAGCCCAAAAAGAAAGGCATGACTGGACTGTTTTCTTTGTATACTGCGTAGTTGAACTTTTGGTTCTTGAAAAAAGGCTTCAGGTTGCTTTAGAGATGTAATAGATCTTTGGGGCAAATTCGGACTTTTTAAAAATTTTCAAGAAGGCACAAAGGAAATTTTGGATGTTTTTGACCTTCTGAAGAGCTCTATAACTAACATGATCTTTTTGTCGATTTTATCAGGAAGGAGTTTGAATTTCCGGCTAAAACACTACAGAAAAGTTCCAGCCAGAAGTTGATAGCTCCTGATTTTTTTTCAGTGACTTGTTTCAAAACAGGTTTGTTGGTGGTAAATTGTGAAAAACTCAACTTCAGATGGTTTTCAAGTTATTTTTCGATCAGAAAAGACTTTCATCTTTAAATTTGATTTTTTCCAGCTCTTGTTGGTCCGCCGACAAATGTTCGAGTTGAAGCGACGAGCAATTCTTCGGCCGTCGTTCAATGGGACTTTGAAGCGGCTCCGGTTCGTTTTTCATCGAATTCAAAGAATTTTTGTCATTCTCAGGTCGATTCCTTCGTCGTCAAGTACATCCATGAGCCGGGAAGCCGAACGGACACCGAAAAATGGGTCCAACAGCCCGTTTTGGGACACGTTCGCCACTATGAAGTGCCAAACTTGACGGCCCACAAACCTTACGCGTTTTGTGTCTTGGCTGTGAAAAACAATGTGGGTTTGAGGGTAGAAGGGGGTTCAAAAAAAAAAGTAGGTAAACCGGTCTGTATTTTGAGAAGACTTTGGATGAGACTTTAGCAGTCTTTATATACTTTAGGGGGTTTTTAAATAATAAAGACTGTGAAAATAGCAATTTTCCTGCTCGAAATGCAGTGAAGAAAGCATATTTTTATTTATTCAACTTTTTTTCAAACTGCTTCGAACTCAAGAACATTATTTTTTTGATTATGACAACCTAAGAAGACTGGAATTTGAAAAGAGTCATTTTCTTATCGTTACTCCGAAATAGTAATATGAAATTCTCTGACCAAAATACTCTAGCTGAAATTTTTGTAGTTTCCCAAAGTGCGACTTGCATTGTACGATGAGGTACAAATTCGCAAAAATAGTGCATTTTTGAAAATTTGTAGTTCTATCAAACCAAAAAGAATGTGGACTGAAATATCTAAAAAAAATTTTTTTAGCAACTCCAAGAAATTTTTAAGAAATAAATCTTACTGAATTTCTTAAAACTGCTAAAGATAAAAAGTTTTTAAAAAGATAATTTTATGAAGCATATACCGGTTTCCGCGACTTGAAACAGTATCTCTGCGCCCTCCTTGTCTATCGGCGACCCTCTCATGTAGACGTGATATTTCCGTGTTCCTCTGACCTGCCGGCGAGGGAACAGAGAGACGCAGACAGTCAGAAAGTTTCAAGTCGCGGCTAACAAACTATACTCTAGTTTCCAAGAAAAAAAAATTCATCTTTTAATTTTCAGCGACAAGGGCCATGCTCCGACCCACCAACAGTCCTGGAAAGCGTCTCGCCGACTTACATGGTCCAAAATTTGAGGGTTCTCTGGAAAACGAGCAACTCTGTTCAGTTGACGTGAGTTTTAGGAGCAATTTGATGATATTAAAAAACGGGGAAGAAAAATCAAGGAATACTGGTACTTTCTGTGAAGTTTGGAACGAAAAAAACGACATAAAAAAATTTTTTTCAAACTTGAATATTCAAAAAAACAAACATTTTTTTCTGGTCTCGAAAAAGCCTATATTTGAAGAAAAAGAGGTTTCAAAAATCTCGTTTTTGAGTTTTCAAAATTTAAGGGTTCCCTCATAGTTTCTAGGCCTTAAAGAGAGAGGGAAGGTTCTCATAAGCTCAATTTAAAAAAATGACCGCTTTTGAAAAAAATTTACAATAGAGTTTTCTAACAGAAAAAAAGCAAAAAAAAATTTTTTTCGAAAAAGATTTTTTTACTCAAACAAAAAAACAATAATCTCAATTTCTCTTTATTTTCAAAGTTAAAATTCGTTTATCACAGATTTTTCCATGATTTTCCTATCTTTTTTTCTAAAAATATCAAAGTTTGATAAAATTTTCTACAGAACACCATTGGAAAAATGATTATCTCTATATTCCAAAGCCCTAAAATAACCGTCAAAAAGCCCGTTTATGGTTTTGTTTTCTAGATGGGACTACACTGGACCGCGGAACGTTGGATTTCACCTGAATCACACCGGAATCAAGGAATATTTGAACCAGGACCTTCAGTTGAAAACCATGACGACGCCTGGTTACGTCAGAGAACTTCCCGAAAATTCGAGGGAATTTTTGTGAGTTGTCCAAAAAAAATTTAAAGTTTGGACTTTGTAATATTATTTCCAAAGCGCATCCCACTAAATTTTGAAAGTAAAAGATGATTTTTTTCGGTTTTCTGGGGAAAATTGGAATTTTGAAATAGATTTTTAGTTTTTTTTCTAATTTTTAAAGGTTTTTAGAGGTTAATCAAGTTTTTTTTTTTGAGGCGAAATTTTGACCATTTTTGAGCAATTCCACGATTTTTTTCTGCATTTTTTTGTGTGCAAAAAGAGTTTCTGAATAAAAACTTTCTGTACTTCTAATTTTTGAATTTTTCCCATTAGTTTTTTTCAGTCCTTTGAGTCCATTTTTCTCATTCAGATGGACCTCACTTCGACCAAATATGCAGTATACCTTCCACATTGGCGTTCACACTCTACCACCGGGTTCCAGAAGATATTGGCCCAAAGAGGTTGGCCTTCGATTTTGGATGAAGTAGCGTGAATGGTTCTTGTTGAGTATGTAAATAGGTGTTATTAAAAAATAGATCACGTGGAAGATTTGGGCCAGTTTTTCGTGTACAGCATCTTCACAGACGAAACGAGCGCCGTGAGAGTCCAAAAGAATCGCCAACGATTGAAGAGCCTATGAATATACCTCTATATAGACATGACGTCTCGTGAAGGCGGTTGATCGTCGTCGTCCTGTTGTGGAGACGTCGGGGGCGGTAGAGGCCTCGAGGGTGGTGTGGAGACGTCGGGGCGGTCAAGGCTTCGAGGCGGTTGAGAATTGAATTGATTATCAGTGGAATTAGAGCCTTATATAGTGGCCTAATCTTCTTTTCAACTTTTCATTAACACGTAGACACGCCTGGGTTAGAAAGAAAAATGAAGTTTTAAATGCGACGGTTTTCTTTAACTTGAAATCGACGTGGCTCTTCGAATAAATGCTTTTTTTGCGTCCGACCTGAAACGGTTTGCACGCGTGGTCACGAAAAATCATTAGACAGCTTCAGTATTCAATTTAGCTTCTAACGAAAAATTCAGAGTCTAACAAGATTTTTCAATAAAAATGAGGAAAGTTCGAAATTTGGTGCTCTAATTTTGAATCTACGTATGAAGTGGCTCGACGTGTAACGGCTCTTTTTTGCGTCCGACTTGAAACGGCTTGCGCGCGTTTTCATCGGAAATCATTGGATAGAGTTTCAAGTCAGCATCTAACTGAAAAGTTACACATGAAGTGGCTCGACAATTAAAGGCTGTTTTTTTTTGCGTCTGACCTAAAACGGTTCGCGCGTGGGGCCATCGAAAATCATTAGACAGCGAAATCTAACCGCGAAGTTTTCGACCCCTTTTAGAGTCAATTTTTTAAAGTTTCTCCCCATTAACTTTAACTTAAAGTCCCAAATGAAGTCTCTAAGTCGATGTCAACATAGCAAAAATTAGTCAGACTCAGATCAGATGCTCAAATTTTAAGGTGACAACAAAAACCGACTGTACCGGACCTCCCTTCGTCGAACGGCCCGTTTTGGTCTTGGAATCGACGAATATGCTCGCCGGCCAACAGATGGTCCGACTCTCGCCGGCTTCCGAGGAATACGGAGAGATCTCCCATTATTGGATCATCGTCGTCCCCGCCAATTATAGCAATGTTCGTTTGGGAAATGATAGTGGAAAGCATATTTTTGTCCGAGGGGAATAATAGAGGAATCTTTTCCTAGACCTCCAAAAAGTTTCGGACATTTTTTTCAATTATAGACACAGTTTTTTCGTTCCTCAACTTCTCATAAAGCGTTCTTGAGAAGCTCCAAAAGTTCTGAGCTTCCTATCTTTTCAAAAGATTTCTGAATCCCCAATTTTGTCACATAAAATGATTTGATTCTTCAGGAAGACGTCGTCAACATGGATTCGACGGATCTCGAGCGGGCGACGTCGGAGAAAAGAGCCGCCCTGGCCAAGCAGTTGTCTGTTTCGCCGACCAAGAAGGTCACACTTTTCCTGTTTCGGAATTTATTGGAGTTTTTTTGGGGGTTGCATCGACGATCGACTTTTGACAGTTTAAAAACGAAAAAAAGCTTTATATTTCTCTCGTTTTAGCTTCATATACGGAATGACTCGGAGCAATCTTTATTCCAACCGAAATTCACATTTTCAGACATTTTTGGACTAAAATATTTTCCTTGTATCAAGGTGGTAACGGCAAAAATGAACTGCCTGGATTGCGAACTCTAAAAAGTGAAGAAAAAAATTTTTCGAAATTCATTTGATTTCAATATTTTTCCACCTCAGGAGTAGAATGAAAAAATGCCCATGTATTTTTAACCCGTTTGTGTCCCATTTTTCTCCCGTAAAAAGACCGTATATCAGAACAGGAACCGAATTTCGCTTCGAGACCATCGTTTTTTTACTGGCGTAGAGAAAAAGTGCTAGAAAAGTTGTTTTATGAAAATTATTCGCATTTATTATGCTTTTTAACGTGACCGCTTGTATGGAGCACAATAAACTTTGCAAAATAGGTCAAAAAAAAAATCAAAGAAATTGGAAAAATTTGAGAGGCCTCAAAAATCATCCAAATGTCTCATTTAATCATCATTTCCGTTTACAGATCCGCAAGAACGTCGACGAAAAGGAACACCCAAAAATCCGGCAAAAACGAGCCGCTCCTTTGGGCGCCTACGTCACGGCTCGCCTCAGTTCCACGAGGATGCAGCAGGATTTCAGCGGCCGGACGCCATTTATCGTCGGAGATTCACAGGTACTTTTTGTAAGGTTGCTGAAAAATAGGGGTTCTTTAGGTTATTAGGGATTTAAGGTTGATTTTGATAAGGCTTTACCAAAAAAAAAAAAATTAAATAGGCTGGCTTGAAAATCTCTCCATATTTTTTATTACCCAAGTGAGCCAATCTATTATTCAATTGGGTATGATTTTGATTAGTTGGTCGGTTTTTTTAGTGTCAAGCTTCTGTGTATAACTCCTTAAAAAACTAGCTTTGAAGCCTTTTTTAAGTTCCTTAAAATGAAAAATCTAAAAAGGCTATTTTTAAAGTCTCAAATGCGCCCCAAGGATAAACTGAGAAATTCAGAGTATTTCAAGCATTTTTCAACTAATTTTTTCTGAAAAATGCAGTTTTTTTCTTTAACCTACGCTGAAAGAAGAAAAAAATGAATATTCTCTTAGAGAAATTTGGAACATTCGGACTCGTGGAGAATCAAATTGACGATTCTGCCCCCTATTTCATCATTAATGAACTCCTTTCCGCTCTCATTTGCTATGAATTAGAAAAAAAGTTGTCCCCGAGGCAATCGAGCGGATTGAAAACTTACCGCGTCTTTTCTTCTTTTATTAAATTTGAATTTTCGATTAATGTTAATTAAAAACTCTTTGGATTTTTGTATTCTCGATTTTTGCGTTCTGATGACAAAAAAAAATTTTTTGTAGTTCCCATAAGTTGAAGGCCTTTTTGAATGTTTCAAGTCCGCTCCATCGATAAAAAAATGGAAAAATTTTTGGCTGTTTTTTTCACGTCGATTCGCGCTCTATCGATAAATTTGTGTCAAATTCACGATTTTTCTCATTTTTTTAGAATCGACGTATGAATTGATCATTTTTTTAATGAAGGATATTTTTTTAACAAACCTGGAATATTTTTCAGAGGCTAATTTTTCAATATGAAAATGCGCTCTAATGATATTTTTTTCAAATCAACCGATCAAAATAAAAAAATCTTTCATTTTTTTATCACAAGAAATTTCGGATTTTTCATGCGTTTGAGGCTTTTTTTTTTACATATTTTTGAACTCGTTTTGCAAAAAAAAAAATTGGACTTTTTTTCTCATGAAACTCGCGTCCTTGCCCTCTCATAATGTTATTCGAAAGGACGGACGCCCGGAAACCCATAAACCTGCCTCAGGATTGGATTGAAGGCCTCGGGGCACAATTTCACAAATCGAGATAAATGAGCGTTGGAGGGGCCGTCAGACCTACGCATAGATATATATACGAATAGGAAAGCATTACGCCCTCCGCAATGGGGGCCGTGTACAAATGGCCATTTTCGACATTTGGAACCACGTTTTTTTTGCCTTTTTCATTTATTTTAAGCTCACCTTAGGAAGGTTAGAGCGGTCCCTACAGGGGCAATCTTAAAATCACTCGAGGGATAACTGTAGAGGCCATATCTTAAAACCCTATAGGCATCACTTACATTTTAGCCCTCTAGAACCATGAGCTTGCAAAAGTAGCCTTTTTAGGTGAGCACTTATACATTTTTTAACTTTCGAATCATAACAAAAACTTAAACGATCACTATAGGGGCCAGACCTTAAAACCCTATAGGTACCACTTGAATTTAGCCCTCTAGGGCTCTGTATAAATGACCATTTTCGACATTTGGAACTATTATTTTTCGTCTTTTTCCTTCGCTTGCCTTAGGTACGCCAGAGTGGCCCCTACATGGACAACCTTAGGGTCCCTTAAAAGAGAAACGTGCAAGGTGACCGCTTCAGGGTAGCATGTCATCCCTATACGTCTTTTTGACTTTCGAACCATAACTGGAAGTTGAAAAATCACTATAGGGGACACTTGACCTTTAGAGTCTCAAAAATCAGACCCTAGACCTCTATAGGAACCACTCAAATTTCAGCTCACTAGGGAGCACTATTTTGTCCCCTATATGGGGCTGCTTTTTTCTAAAACTTGTTTAGAGCGTTTTTTTCATTTCGTTAGTGATTTGGAAGCCGAAAAATGGACACTTTTTTGGAAAAAATGTTTATTGAGTCGAAATTTTTTTAACGCAAAAGTCAAAGCAAATGTCCGTTCAATATATTTTTACTTTTTACCTAGAGAGAAAAACGGTATTCTGACTTATGAATGGGCTATACTTTATGAAGGCTTCAAATTTCAGCAAAAAAAAAGCTGGAGTTCCATTTTTCAATAGACGCTGCTCCATAAAGGCTTCAAAATTTGGCGAAAACTTGTATTTTTTTCGTTTTGTTCAAGTTTTTTTCCGGCCGGAAATATACGCAGCTGCATAATGTGCGGCGGCGATCATGCCCTCGGGCAATAAATAAGCCAAGCGGAGGCTCTCGAGAAGTTTTTTCCCCCCGCCCGCATACGACACACGTCCATTCCAGTTGAATGGGTTGAGATTCACGATTTCGTGTGTTGTTGAAATTTTTTTCCCGTGTCACTTCCACCAGCCAAACTTCCCCTTTCCTGGATTTTTTTTAGCCTTTTTTGGAGATTGAATGGCTTGAAAATGGTTTCTTTTGAACATAATCTGTGTTTTTCCTTTTTCCAAAAAATCAGGACGCTTTTAAAATTCGATTAGTTGAGTTCCTTAACATTTTTTTCCCTTTTTTTAAAGGGGAGAATCTAAGGTTTTTCAAACAATCATTAAACATTTTTTTTTCAAAAAAATTGAAGGTTTTTGTCACTTTGTCAGTTCAAAATAAGTTTTCATAAAGAATACGTGTTTTTCAAAAATGTACCTAAAAGCCTCAACTTTCCTTTTTTATATATTTCGAGCCTCGGACTCAGGTTTATGAATTTTTGAATATAAATATAAAAATTGAGCTTCTCGTAATTTCAGTTTTGTACATGACAGGCTCTAAAACGCTTTATTTTTTTCTTTTGGAAAAGTCGATTTTTGACAAGAAAAAAAGCGATTTCTCAAAGAAAAATTACTATTTTTAACACTTTTTTTAAAAGATTTTTTTGTGAAAATTTCATAGTTACTCAAACAACTTCTATGTGAATCGAATGCAGAAAAAACGAGAATTGACCTCTTTTTTGAAAAGTCTTGAGAAAAAGGACTAAAGGACGAGTTTTTGAGCAAACTTGTGCCTCTTGAATATTGAAAAAACAAAGAAATGCTCTGGAAAAATAAATTTGCGCACTTTTTTTTTGATGGAAATAAGGCTGTTTTTGAGTTTCACAGTTTTATTTCCGCCTGAATTGAATTTGGTGAGATTCACACAGATTTTTTTGAATTATTTATAAATCAGAATAATGAGGAGACTGATTATAATAGAGCTATACGAATTATTTTTTTGGATTTTTGTGGGAATCTTGTTTTTTTTTCAGGTTCTGTGAACGTTTGCTGCGCTCTCTGAAACTTTTTAATTTTAGAGAAAAATAATTTAAAACTTTTTTTCTTAACAGGAAAGTGAGGTCTGTAGAAAATATTGTTCATCGCCCAAAAAAACGGCTGAATGACTTTTTGGTAGTCAAAATGACTCGAACCTGGAATACCAGACGTTTCTGAGCACTTCTAGGGATCACTTAAGGGTACAGAAGACGCTAAAGTGGTCACTAGGAAGGTTCAGAAGCGTCAGGAACGCGTTAGGAATTTTCCCTCTTACAGAACCTTTATTCAGAGTTTTTTTTTTTTTTTTCCATTTTTGGTAAACCCTTTATCACTTTCTTGCATAATGACTGACAAGGAAGGTTATTTTACTTAAATTTCCCGGAAAACTAGTCGGAAAAAAATTCTTTATGTATCAAATAAAGATCCTCTAAAAGTCTCAATCTTCACAACTTCATGATTTTCGAGAAAGGACACCTCAAATTCAAGGAAACCCTTAAAAATCCGTTAAAATAGGTTTTTTAAAAACTTTAGGCCCTTATTTCTCGAAAAATATGAAGTTGTGAAATTTGAGACTTTCGGAATCTTTTCCTGGTACATCAAGGAGTCTCCTGGCCGATTTCCAAGAAGTAAAATGACTTTCCTTTTTCGTTTCAATACTTTAATCATCACATATATGCCGTTTGCAGTTGTATGAGGGATTCACCAACTACCCACTCGAGCCCCACGCCCACTACCGACTGATGATGCGAGCTTTCGCCAAGGAGGAGCCGAGGTCCCGCGATAGTGTGAGTTTCATGATTAGAACTTTTTTTTTTGTCAGTTATATTGTTTTTTTGTAGAATTTTTCGAGCTTTCGAGTTTTTTTCAAATGGTAATAAACCGGCTTGAAACTGACGTGTACTTACTTATTAATGAAATTAGAAAAAAAAAAATTTTGAGCCGTTTTTTCGTTCACTTTTGGATTTAATGAATGATTTTAGAGCTTCTCAGGAGATTTTTCAGTTTTTGCAAAATAAAAAATTTCAAAATCGCTTTTTTAGGAGTCAAATTCTGAAGAAAAAAATCTAAAAGTTCGTTTTCCGAAAATTTTCAACTTTAATGGTTTTTTTCAGAGGAGAGAATTTTCTAGGCTCTGAGAATCACCTGAGAAACATTTTTGAACGTCTCGATTTCATTCTAAAAGTAATTTTTAAGGGTTTTCTATTTTACCAGTCGAGTTATAATGCTATAACCCTTCGAAAGTTGAATTTAGCCATTATTTTTGGAGAAAAGAGATTTCTTGCAACCCGAAAAAAATTGTGAAAAAGCATTGAAAAAAATTCTACATAATTCGGTGTTTTACCGAAGTTTCAGTATATTTCTGAAAATGGGAGGTTCGAACTTCTTCTCTTAAGGGCTCACTTGGAAGTTTCAAGCCTTTTTTTTAAATCAAGACGATTTTTTTTCAAAAATCAGAGCGACTTTTTTCAAAAATCAAGTCAAATTTTTTTGAAAAAAAATCAAGTCGTTTTTTTGAAAAAAATCAAATCCACTTTTGTCAAAAATCCAGACGACTTTTTCTTTAAAAATCAAGTCATCTTTTTTTAAATCAAGTCATTTTTTTCCAAAAATCAAGTCCTTTTTTTTAAATTCAAGTCGAATTTTTTTGAAAAAAATCAAGCCTTTTTTTCTTCCAAAATCAAGTTTACTTTTTCAAAACCAAGTCCACTTTTCTCAGTTCGAACAACGGCCGCCGATGAGCGAGAAGCTGACGAAAATGTACTCGGACTCGTTGCTGACGGAGCCCTTCACGACCAAATCAACGGCTCGCGGTGGAGCGCAACGGACGTCTCCCTGGTTCGGCGCGTTCGTCGCCATCGCCGTCATCCTCACCATCATCTTCATGCTCGTTTGCTGGTTCGCTTTACGTTATTTGTGAGTTCGTGGCATGCGTTTTGTTATACATTTTTGCATGAACCTCAATAGTTCGTTTTTCGCGACCTCCTCGTCTCTCGTTTTGACGTGCTGTTTCCCTGTTTCTCTGACCCCAAGGGAACAGAGAGACGCAGACACTCGAAAACTGTCAAGTCGTGGTGAACGGACCGTAAAAGTCAACTTTTAGCGGTCATTTTGATGGAAATTAGCTCCAAAAAGTCGGAAAATTAGTGAAAATTTTTAATATCGCCTGAAAAATATGCGCAGGTAGGTTGAAAAAGCTTCTAATTTTTTGACTGTTTTTTTCAAAATACCAGCTTTCTCTATTGGTTCCTTTAGCTCGAGAAAAAAATCATGAAAATTTAAATTATACCTCGAATTTCTGACCAAAAAAGGTACAGAATTCCTTCAAAATCCTTTTACTAATTTTTTTTTTGGCCGTTAGGAGCAATAAACAAAGATTTCCGTTTCACCTAAAAGTCTAAAAGTAGAAAAAGAGGCGAGGAATGCTACCTCCTCAATTTTTCTGTCTTGTGAACTTTCATCCTTTGTTGAGAAGAAGAAGTAGTACTGAAAAAATGGGCCCAGCTCAAAAATCTTCACTCTTTGAGATTGGGATTTTCAAACTGCATGAACTTTAACTTTGCATGCCCACTGAAAAAAAAAATATTGAGATAATTCGAAATAAGTAAATTCTGCTTGCAGGTGGGTCCGATGCAAGAAAAAGTCGGCCGGACGTCACCCACGACACGGATCAATCACGAAAGTCGCCCTGACCGGAAACATCATGAACGGAATGCCTGGCGAGACGAGCAAACTCCTGAACTCCAACGATTACGGCCGTCCCGTCATGAATCCCTACGATCAGATGAACGGAAACGGCGGTCTCATGGAATCTTCCCTAGACCTCTACCCCCTGCCCAACAGCCATTCCCGAGCCAACGGATATGCCCCAGTTCCTGTACCTCTACCTTCCCTCCCGACCGGTAACCTTAACAATCCCGACGACTATCGTCCATCCGCCGATCCCCATCGCCGAACTCGCCCAACACATCGAACGCCTTCGGATCAACAACAACTCGGGCTTCCAGCAGGAGTTCGAGTCCATCGAAACCGGCCAGCACTTCACCTGGGAGCACAGCAGCGCCGAAGTGAACAAGCACAAGAATCGCTACGCCAACGTCGCCGCCTACGATCATTCCCGCGTCGTTCTGAGCGATGTCGATGCGGTCCCCGGCTCGGACTACATCAACGCCAACTACATCGACGGCTACGAGAAGCCCAAGAGCTACATCGCCACCCAAGGACCCCTTCCCGAAACGTTCGGCGACTTCTGGAGAATGGTCTGGGAGGAAGGATCAGTGACGATCGTGATGCTGACCAACCTCGAGGAGAGGTCCAGAGTCAAGTGCGACCAGTACTGGCCTTCCCGCGGGAGTTCCGCCTACGGCGACGTCCAAGTCACTCTCCTGGAGACCACCGTTCTGGCCCACTACACGATGCGGACACTGAGACTCCAAGTAGCCGGAGAGCCCGAAGTCCGCGAGATCCGACATCTACAGTACACGGCCTGGCCTGACCACGGTGTTCCCGACCATCCGACGCCCTTCTTGGTCTTCCTCAAGCGTGTCAAGACCCTGAATCCTCAGGACGCCGGTCCGATCATCTCGCATTGCAGGTTGGTTGTTGCATCGGAGCGCGATTGTTGAGGATTATGTTGCCTTTTTGAACTTGTGACTTTTCGAAACCTGCTGATGGCTTCAGCATTTTATATTTTTGAGAAGTAGCTTGCACTGCTGGGTTTTATACCATTGAAAGTTTTCAAGAAGATGTAATATTTCCAGTGCTGGAATTGGCCGAACCGGAGCCTTCATCGTCATCGACTGCATGTTGGAGCGACTGCGATACGATAACACCGTGGATATTTACGGATGTGTAACGCATCTGAGAAGTCAGAGGTCCTATATGGTCCAGGTGTGTTTGGAATCCAACTTTTAAGCATGATTGGGGTCAGAATTCATCTTTTCTGAGCTCATATTAAAGAGTTTCGTAGGGTCGTTAGATTGATACCGAACTCGGCTCGTTTTGGGCAGATAGCTTATTTTTATAGATTTTTTTTTCTTATCAGATGTTTGCTTAATTCGAAGACTTGGTCACGTTTTTTTGCATCATTTTTTAATCAGGAGGGGTAGAAGTCAAGGTTTTTGATGCTGGAAATCAAGTTTTCGGAAAAGGAAGTCTAAAGTTTGTTCGGCTAAGAGCTTGATAAATTCTCCAGAGTGGTATTTTAGAACACGCGGATTGAAAATCAGCCTGTTTTAGTTTTTCAGTAGAGTTATAATGCTTTAAAGACGCCAAAAGTCTCCTCACAAAAATGAAAAAATGGTCCGTTTTTCGCGGCTTTTCTGCGCCCTCCTTATCTCTCAACGACTCTCTCATGCTCACGTGCTATTTCCATGTTTCTCTGACCTCGCCGGTGAGGGAACAGAGAGACGCAGACACTTGAAAAATGTCAAGTCACGGGCTATAACTCAAGGCATTTTGCAGTTGTTCCTGACCTTTTTTTTTTTGATAAGGCAGTTCCTCTGAGCAAAGTTTCCCTTGATAGCTTTCATTTTTGAAGAATAGCGGGCGTTTCTCCAACTATTTTCCCTCATCAGAACCGTGTCTCAACAGAAAAGTATTTTCAGACGGAGGAGCAGTACATCTTCATCCACGACGCCGTCCTCGACGCGGTCAACAGCGGATCGACGGAAGTTCCGGCCTCGCGACTTCACCAACACGTTCAGGCCTTTGATGCAACCGACGATAGATGGCGTTTCCGGCATCGAAATGGAGTTTAGGGTTAGTTCTTTCGGAATCCAATAATTTGTCATGGTATCTGCTTAGATTTTCAGATCCCCAATACAGGGATCTCAAGATGAAAAATCATTTTTTTGAAAAAGTTTTGAACTTTTCACGGGAAAAGAAAAATCTTAATACTCCGAAAAGTGAGAACAAGAGAATTTTTTCCATTTTTAAGGAGTACGGTACATGAAAGTCCGCAATCTGTGTTGATCACTGTGCGTGTTTGCACGTTTTTGCGTTATAACCTCAAAAAACAAGTTTATCAACCATTCTAATTCGATAAATTACGTCCCGCAACAAACGTGCAAACACAAAGTGAACGAATGCGCACTTTTCAAACAGTACCCTTCGAAAAATGGAAAACTCGCTCTTCTCGTAGCGCCACCATTTTAACTGAAAAAAGAGCTTCTATCTTTTTCAGCACCTGTCGACGTTGAAATGGGCGAACAGCCGATGCCAAGTGGCCAACACGCCGGTCAACCGGCACAAGAACCGCGTGCTCAGCTCGGTGCCCTTCGATGCCAACCGCGTCATCCTGCACATGATCCCGGGCATCGACGGCAGCGACTACATCAACGCCTCCTGGATCGACGGCTACCGCGAAC